TCGCCCTCCACGTCATCCTTCTTCGTCGATGAATACACCATCCACGCATGATCCGATTTCCGAGACGGCCTCACGACCACCGACCCCGGGACCTCCGCATCCCGACGCGTCACCAAACCATCACTGCTCACACCGTAACGCATCTTCAAGTGCAGAGCGCTCACTGCCATTGCAGCGGCAATGGGGATAACGACGGGGACCTTGGCAGGTCCCACTTGGCATGAGTCGAGATCATTGTATTTTGTGAGGAAACCAGGGATTGGGAACCACGGGAGCTCGGCGTGAGCGATGAGAGACATCGTGGCGAGGACACCAGGGGCGATGCTTGCTTCGGTGTGGAAGGAGATTATTGGGATTTGGTTTGAGGGGAATTTGTGCTTGGAGATGAAGTCCTTACGTTTCTCATAGGTGAGATCGTCGAGCGCCCTCATATCACCCTATGGGATATTTCAAAAAATTAGGGAAAATAGCCACATAGAATGCCACCTTATTTGTGATGCAAATGAGGATACGAAAGTGCAAAATAACTAGTTAGAAGAATTAAAAAAGCAGTCAGGGTTTGGTTCTTAGCATGGGAGTACGTGTGGACTACTCTTAAAAGAGTATTGGTGTGTGATCCTAGACGTTTTTAAGTGTTAGGCTTCATAAACAAGAGCTTTGACCGCCAGTAGCTCACTTATGTATTGTAAATGGAAATAACTCGAAACAAAAGACAAATTGCACATTTGGGTGAATGCCGTGTCAAAATCACAAATTCCGATTTTGTAGATGTATTGATATTAGAAAAGATGAAATAAACCAAATATCATGATACTGTACGAATTAAGTTGTGATTTTACCTGCCAAACAGCTAAAGGCATCATGATTATCCTAAAACCTGGACTTATCATTTTTCCACAGCCAACGAAAATTTTTCAGATAAACATCATTTTGCTATCATTTGTTTGTCCAGTTGCTCAAATGTCAGAATAAGCCAACCAATTTGTGATGAAACAGGAAATATATAGATTATAATACCTTAATGATTTTGCATATAATGAATTCCATAATCTTGCGAGCCTCCTTGTCAGCAATCTGACCTTCGCGTAGAATATCAGAAGCAATTGGAGTACCCCCATATGGGCTCTGGACAAGTGCTAGACCAGCAACCTTGTCTTTCAAATCCGGCCAATACATAGAAAGTGCAGCAGCAGCATCAACCCCACCTTTGCTATGCCCAAGAAGCAGTACCTTTTTCCCAGATCCCCAGTACAGCTCCTCAATGTATTGCTTCAATTCCCACGCATTTTTCTCCACTGATGCCTAAAGACACCTGAAGGCATTAGGTCGAGCAATGGACTTAATATAATTATGAACTCTTGTTTGCAATAAGATCGAGGGTTAATTGCACATAGACCTCCTGCAGTATCCTTGTGTTGCACCTGCTACCCCTGTAGTTTCATTGTTGCAGATAGACCCCCAGAGTTATAAATTTTTTACTCTTTTACTTGTTGCGAAAATTTGGCAGATATTGCCCATGGGTGAATTTAGTAGTCTGAGGGTAAAAGAATAAATAAATAAATAAAATTAATCCAAGGGATCTATCTGCAAAATGAAACTATCAAAGTAGTAAGTGCAAAACAAGTTACTGAAGAAATCTACGTGCAATTAAACCTAAGATCACAAACATTTCCGCACAGAAATTTCGAAGCTAAACTTTGACAAACTTTTGTTCAAGATTTGTAAACCATTTGAAAGCTAAGTAGTATGATTACTTCAACAAGGTCGATTTCAAATCTGCTCACCTCACTGTGAATCTTAGCAATATGACTAGTTAGACCCATCTTAAGGAAAAATCTCTTGGTATTCACAAAATATAATGGACTGTGATTGCTGAAGAGCCCTGCAAACAACCAGTTTAACCAAGAGATAAGCGCACAGAAGCAACCAGATGATTCGAACAATTTTAGAACAACAAAAATAACATCCCACCAGGAATTAATAAATAAACCAGAGTGTTGGGAAGACAATGTTGGCCATTTCTGAAATGAAGAGACAACAAGAAACAAGATTAGATATTATCTATTAAATAGAGTCCATAAATATGGCATAAGGAAACAAATCTAGCCATGCCACAAAAGAAGCAATTAGTATACACTAATACATGAACGCTATAGGTTTGATATAGTTTTTACATGAATTCATCTTAATAACAAAATGCCAGTATTCTGTGAACCCTGTAGAAAGGTCTGAAAAGTCTAAAAATTTTCAGTTTTTAGGTCTCCATATTACCTTTTAAAAGAATTAACAATAGAGTTTAATGCTTGATACGATGACACACTTTTATCTCCAAATATGTCCACAATATTTGGTAATACAATATAATAGATCACATCATAATGAGTTGAGCTCCTTATTTTAGTGAAACACTACTCATTAAATTGTGTTTAACCTATAATTTGTGGTATACTTCAATTATTAAGTTAATTTGAATCTATTACAAACCTTGACTTCTTTGACATTAATAGAACTCAGAAGCCGAGTATGTTTATGTCCAATAATTAATAAAGAGCTATTCCAAACAAAAATTAATTCTTCTGCTTATTCACGTAAGTTAGATTGCTAATTAGGATATCATGCCTATTTAGAAACTGCTGGCGCCTTAACTATTCAGTTATACATCTAATCTTCATCAATTATTCCAAAATCATGTTCATTAATTGCTGATTGTCTGGTATTCTGATCTAAAAATGTTGATGTTACCATAACACTTGAATACCAAAACTGGAATGATACGGGTTAAAACCTCACTCGAGAGAATAAGAAGCAATTTTGAAAAGTACTTCACGCATCAGCTCATGTAATTAAAGAGCCTATCTGTTTCTGTTGGAAATGCTTCTTTTTAATGCATAGATAACAGTAAATTCACGAGTGATAACTGATGTGGAGTAAATGCAGCCCACCCTAGAACTAATGAACCTTAAACAGAGGTTAGGAACAAACTTTAACCCAAAAGCTTAAGCTATTAGGTATTGACCTCAATTTCTATTTAAAACCCATTAATCTTTCTCATCCTATTCGATGTGGGACCATACTCACACAAGAATACTCAACAATAACAAGAAGATAACTGCAGTAGAAAGCTTTGACATATGCAATTTATCAGAAATCCTCTTGACCCGCTAGTGGAAGAAAGTCTGATCAAAGCAATCTTCAGAGAGTGATAAGATCCAGATGTTTCTGCTTGAAGCTAGCTTCACATATCTCAATAGGCATAATTTCAGGGGATGAAGCCTTGCTCACAAAGACTAAAAGATACCTTCAAACATAGTTGTTCATTATCATACCACTCTTAAGAATATATCTAAATTAAACAGATAAGGCCCATCTAAATAGTGTGAAAAAAGTACTAGTGGCTTTTTATGTCCTTTCTTCTTCAATACATACTGAAATTATGGACCACACTAGGAAAATTTAACTAATATTGTAATAATTAGAGTAATACCTTATGTCGCTAAGCAACTCCATGAATCGGATAGTTCCATCCTTCACAGGAGGTAATCCTTCAGTCCGTTCCAACCATCCAATATCCTCAGAAGATCCCCGCAAAGTTCTCTTTACACGGCATAAGAACCTAGAGAGCAAGGACATGAACAGACAAATAAAACAATTAAGGTTGTGTGATATACACTAAACATAAAAAGAGAGAAGGTGAAATGAACGAGTTGTACAATATATAAATTTTGGAGTTGGTGGAAAAGTTATAACAATAACCAGATGAACGTGGACAAATCCAATTCTCCTACCCAGACAATTGTACTTTGATGCTTCTGATATATGAGCAGGAATATCTCCAGAAACCTGACGTTAATCGACATCCCAGTCTAAGGCCACACACAGGAAGCATCAACCTGTAACATTATTCAGCATTATCCATCAAATGGCATTGCGGGCAAGTTACTGAGGCTAAAAACATGCACATTAGCACGTACAGCAAGATGTTTAAACTGGACATGCAGGTTAACCATAAATAAACAAGTTCATGCTACATTTTTGGCCAAATTATAGTTAGTAGTGGCACTATATATGAGTGGGACAGTCATGTGAAAGGGAACTGTTATCAATATGTTTAGGATACTCGGGTTTTCCAAAATATTGCCAACCCAATACGACACTTGGACGTTGATGTCATATAAGACAGTCAGTGGCGGAATTTTGGCAAGGGGGTGCAAAAAATTTTATACATGATAGCATATAATATTTTTTTGCACAATTGATCGGCATATAAAGATCATTACGTAACAAAATTTTGGGTAATATCTTCAATTGGAATATAGTATTTACAATAGCAATCTTTTTGTCTTCATTTCTTGAAACTGTAATGTTGTGTCTTCCTCATCAATGTTACAAATATATATTTATAGACACTTGAAAGTCCAAGATTTGGTCTACCGGCCACAAAATTACCTTCCATATTCGGGATCACTATCTCATAGAAATTACAAAAAACATGGGAAACAGAGAATCGTTTAAAAAATTTACACTTTAGCCCTTACAATTTAGAAAATTACTAAATATTAATGACTTAATTACACTTAAATACCTATAGTTTCCTCGATGTTGCACTTATATACCCTCACTTGTTTTTGGCAAGAGTTATATACCCTTAAGTTTTTAAAACTTACACTTAAACACCCTAAAGTTACCATAACTAGCACTTAAATAGTCCAGTTATGCAAACGTGAAATTTTTCCTCCAAACGCTCACATGTTAATTTTAATTTTGGAACGATAGTTGTTAGATTTAATGTTAGACATATCCAAATAATATTTTAAAATAGAATTAGGATAGTTTGAATAGTACATTTAACAAAAACAAAGGGTTAAAAGTTCTAAATATAATGTGTAAGTGTTGCATGAGAACTTTTGGGGAAAATTTTCGCATTTGCATAACTGACGGTATTTAAGTGCAAGTTTTTAAAAAAATTAAGGGTATATAAATGCAACTATTAAAAACTTTAGGGTGTATAAGTCCCGCCAAAAACAAGTGAGAATAAGGATATATAAGTGCAGGTTTTAAGAACTTTAGGGTATTAAAGTGTTGCAAAAAACAATTGAGGGTATATAAGTCCAAAAGAGAGGAAACTATAAGGTAAGTACGTGAAAATATTAATACCTTTACATGTATTTTTAATATCCAAGGGGGACCAAGGCCCTATTGGGCCCTATATGACCCCGGCCGTGAAGACAATTATCATGTTGAAAAAAAGGAAAATAAAATACAGTATTAAAAAGTGAAAAGGCTTAGAAATCCTTTCCTGAAGTGACATACTAAGGAATAATAGAAAGAGGTGCTAACAAGTTGTATATATTCCATGATCATCCAAACCCATGCAATGCTTCTTTTTTAACTATGACATATACAATGAGAAAGGTGAACAAGTAGGGCTAAGTAGAGTTCAATGAAGCACGGACACGGACACGCCGACACGGACTCGGCAAAACCCAAAAAAATAGGACTCGGCGACACGGCTAGATTTTTTAATATTATTATTATATATAGATAAATTTATAAAATTCAAACAACAAACTAAAATTTAATCCTCAAACACAAAAAAGTAAGCTACTAACACGTTTAAAATTCGTACAGATCGCACTCTCTGAAGTCTCTCACAGTGTTTTAAATATCGGCCGACATGTCGAACATGTCGGCCGATATAACGGATTGAGTGGTCAAGCGACACGAATCAGGGAAATTTAAGTCGGATGTCGTTTTTCAGGTAAAAATCGGATATATCGGCTAAAAATCGGATGTCGGCCGATTTTTCATGTTTGAAAAATCGACCGATATATGTGATTATCGGTTCAGGCTTATTGGGTTTGGTTTGGGTTCATTGAAACCCATTTGACCTTTATCGGTTCAGTTAGAATAGAACAGGCTCAGTTCGAACCCGATAAGACACGCGATCAAAAGAAAAAAAGAAGAAAAACCCTAGGGCTCAATCGAACCCAGCAGCCTTCTCGTCTTCGTTGTTGAAAATCGAAGCCGAAGCCGAAGCCACCTCGTCTTCTTCCCTGC